AGGGTTAATTATAAAGAGTTCTCCCATGTATTTGTAACATAGTTTCTCTATAAAATATAATTGTTGGTCTATAGTGCGTGAGGTTTTTGCGTAAAAAAGAGAGAGTCGTGAAAAGGTCTCCAAGATAAGACGAAATATTGATTAATATATGAATGAAAAGTTTTGCCCAAGAAAACCAAGTGGTGTTTTATTGTGTAAGTCAACCCTAAAAAAAATTCTATGCAGCTAATTTCCAAAAACCTTATGTGCTCGCTTATCTGCACTTTTGTTTAATTCTTGAATAAACAATATCTGAAGAATCTAATCTCTAAGAGCTAAATGTAATCGCATACCTTGTCATATACATACTATTTCGCATGTAACGTAAAATTTTATATGCAGTATGTAGACATGCAATCAAATCGATTTCAGTGAAAATCAAAACTAATAAAATAAAAAAAAGGAAATTTCAACATACTATAGAGAAGACTGAATCTATAAAATCATGACTTCGCACATTTAGACGCTCAGCTTCATAAATTGAGGAAAAGTGGAATATCTAAGTGAGTACAGCTTATGCTGAATTTAGAATGAAATTTANAGGTGCGTGGTAAAGGGGGTGCATCTGAATGGTCCTAGAAAAATTTCTCTACTTGTTTAAAGTAACGGGTTCAGTTTTAAGACACCCGAAAAATAATATTTTCGATACTGCAGTATGTAGACATGCAATCAAATCGATTTCAGTGAAAATTAAAACTAATAAAATAAAAAAAAGGAAATTTCAACATACTATAGAGAAGACTGAATCTATAAAATCATGACTTCGCACATTTAGACGCTCAGCTTCATAAATTGAGGAAAAGTGGAATATCTAAGTGAGTACAGCTTATGCTGAATTTAGAATGAAATTTAATTAACGAAAGCGTATATGAGTAAAGATTAAGCTTTAGTTCATACTATAAACATAGGTCAGTTTTTGGTGTAACAGGTCGTGTAGTGTGTTAGCTAAATAAAATACGCAGTTTGTTTTGGAGCCGAAGGTTGTGAGTTTAAAACTTGAGGTCACTTTTTTTTCCTTTATTAGTATAAGATACACATATATACTTATTCATGAATTATTAACTGTAGAAAAGCTTGCATGCATTAAAATCTTAGTTCAGTAACCCAATACGCTTGTTTTGATAATTAAATAACCAACATCTCAAGCATGTAGTCCTTAGTATAACAAAGCACTTGCTTGTGTGTGTTGTTATTTATTAAATAAATCCACTTATTATTTATATCACAAGAGCCACAAGTATCACAATCATGTTCTTCGAGTTACTTGGGATTAGGGTATCAAACTGTAAAATACTTGATAAATGAATATCCTATAGTTAATTATTTATAAATAAGTAAATATCTGTATCTTGCAAAATACGAAAAAAAAATTTTTTTTTAATTACTTCGAGTCTCGGACTCACAACCTTAAGGTCCAACACAAAGTCCTATTTAACTCACACACTACACGATCTGTTTAACTAAAAGCTTACATATGTTTATAGTATGAACCAAAGCTGAACATTTACTTATATATGCTTTTGTTGATTGAATTTTATTCGAAATTTAGCATAAGTTGTACTCATTTAGATGTTCCCCTTTTTCTCAATTTATGAAGCAGAGCTTCTAAGTGTGCGAAGTCATGATTTTTTAGACTCAGTCTTCTCTATAGTATGTTGAAATTTCCTTTTTTTTTTATTTTATTAGTTTTGATTTTCACTGAAATCGATTTGATTGCATTTCTATGTACTGCGTATAAAAATTCATGTACCATGTAAGAATGAAGACAAACAAATGTATTGGGTTATTGGGAATTAGCTGTTCGAGATTTTGTTTATTTAGAAAATAAAAGTGCCAAGAAGTGAGCGCATTGGGTCACTGAGGCTTAACTTCCTGGGATTCTATGCTAGTTAATTAAAAAAAATGCTTAAAAGTGAGCACATTGTATCATTAGGAATCAGCTGCTTAGGATTTTGTTTATCTAGTAAATAGGAAGAATGTTGTTTAAATAACAGAAAGTTTGTTGGGGTCATTGAAATTAATTACTTGGGATTAGTTACAGAGCGTATTTTATACTAAATAGCACAAATCAACTTTTAGCGCATTGTGTTATTGGGGATTAGGTACTTGGTTTCAATGTTTTTTGGGCTTTGAGCGCTGTGTCTTGAGTTTCGGACATTCGGGTGGCACGCAAATACTTGGCCTATGGAAGACTTCCTGCGGCGAAGTGTGCGCAAGTTCTCAGTTAGATATTGGAGCACTGCATGACTTAATGTTTCTTATAACTATATCTATTGATACTGGTATTATATATAAAATTAGCATAAATATAAAAATATTGAAGTGTTTTTAATATCGGGCTTGTCTAAGTTAGTAAATCAGAATTAACTTACCTCGGAATAGATGGAAGAAAGAGACATGTATAGTCAGTGTATAATTCTTATGCCTCCAGAGAGGTATTATAAATTATAGAGGCAGATTTTTATAATTAAATTAAAAATATAAAACAGGGTGATTTTAACATAAGGACTCAGGACTGGAAGCTTAAAATGTTTTATAGGCATATCAATGGGGGTAGGAAAGAGTATGGGTGAGAGCATGCTCAAAAAATGGTTTTTTTGTTACCTCCTGTCATGTAATTATTAAACTTTTTAGGTAGTTGCTATCGTGTTTTTTTGTATAATGATACACATCATAGATAGGTGTAATCAAGACCCATTTAGACATAAGAAAAGAAGAGCAAAATTGAATAATGTATTTACTGAGCTGCTTCATTTTGATGGTGTAAATAACTTTGAGTACTTTACATACCGACTAAAGTAGTGTCAGGAAAACTTGTAATCCATTTTTCCGTGGGCGAATAATGACCGAATTTTACAGAATAAATTTTTTTTCTTTTAATTTGTACTTTGACGAAAAGACTGTGTTAAAAAATTTCAGTATGGACATTTTTGTTTTAATTTGGCAACAGAATGTCGACAATTAAGCCAAAATTTCTGTAAATAGTGTGAAAAAATAGTTGAAATAAAACAATTTTAATGCGGCTTCATTTTTAAGATATGTTGGGGCCCAGTAACTGTAAAATACCTATAGTAAAAAATTTGGACCGTAAGCACCATTCTCAAGCCTTCCCTCATAAAATGGACTTATGAAATAATCATCTCAGTACATTTGAGGTACTGAATGAACCGTTAAAAAATCTATAAGTACTTTTTAATACCACAATCCGTGTTCATTATACTTTTCTATCATGCACTGAGATCGTTATTTCACAAAGGGTGGCTCGGGGATGTTACAGACCATCAAAAAGTTTTGCCACTAAATATACGAGTTATTTGGCTTTAAGGAGGCTTGGGAGAAAACTTGGAAGTGTAGAATGGTGCCAAAAAAATGCATGCTATATTTGAGCATATCAGGAGTGCACATGAATTTTTTCAGACTTTTCACCAGGGAAATTTTCAAGAAAAAAATTATGTTATATTGTCAGTTCAACACGGTCTCTTATGGAAAACAAATTTAGGTTACCTTTTAATCAAAAATTACGGTACATTATAAATGTTATATTAAAAAAAAACGTTTGTATGGATACCTAAGTACAAGAGAAAGATGCTCAACAACAAAAAGCACGACTCGCCAGGCATTGTTTAAAAATATAACCAATTACAGTCGTACAGATTCAAGTTTATCGAGTGCAAAAGGAGGTGCGTGGTAAAGGGGGTGCATCTGAATGGTCCTAGAAAAATTTCTCTACTTGTTTAAAGTAACGGGTTCAGTTTTAAGACACCCGAAAAATAATATTTTCGATACTTGTCATTAAATTTAATTTTAAAGGAATTTTTAAGCTATTTTATATTAGCATAGATATATATGACTATTCCAAATAAAAATACAAATTTACAAATGCAATTCAACTTATGAATAAATTTTAAATTAAAATAGTTAATAAAATTACGCATGTCCCTATTTATAAGACATGTGTCTTAAAAATTGGGATTTATGTTCCTAACTATGAGACACAATGCTAATTCAGTGTATTTAGGTGTTTAATAATTTGGTACATTCGATTTTAAGGTTATTTTTCTATTTGTACGTATTTATAAGACAGAGATGTTTTAAACTTTTTTTACGTGAAAACGAAACTACAAAACATCCCTGTTTTGTCATATTCATGAATAAAAAATATTAAAATTTCTAAATTAATTTTTGTTTTCAAAAATTAGGTAACATAAATAGCTTAATTATTGATTGTCTTATAACAGGGACAGATTTTACAAGTGTCTTAAAACTGGTCCCGTTACCTTATTAAAGGACTTGAAGATAAAGGTTGGAGCAGTTTGAGGATTGATTGGTAGAAGTTTGAGGATTGGTTGGCAGAAGTTTGCTGGACAGAAAAAGTAATATGAAGAGAAATCTGCATTGAGTAAAAAAAATTTGATAACTGAGTTTAGAGTAGACAAACCATAAATATAAGAAATAATGGGAAAACTACATTGTTGTAGAAGTATAATAGATTATTTTAAATATAAAAAAAACTAGAAGTATGTTATAAAATAAAATAAATAGAAAGCTGATACTAACACCATATTGTGAACTCGTAAAAAGTTAGCTTTAGCTGAAAGAAAACTAGAAAAATCTTGAAGAATATTTTAAATTTACGTATGAATACCAAATGAGGTATAAATAAAGTAGTCAAGTTGTTTGAAAGATTTTATAAAATATAAAAAAATTTTGTACGAAAGAGCACACAAAAACTTATTAGTCAAAAACGTTGATGTGAGGGTGTGTCTTAAAGTAATGTATGACATTAGGTAAAAAATAATAATCATTTGTAAAGTAAGACTTCATCCTGGCCAATATTAGTAAATATAGTAAAGAATAATTTCTTATGTAATTTGCACATTGTGATTTAATTTTTTTTTTTTTTTTAATAGTAGTATAGTAGTATTATTCTTCTTAAATGTTCTACTTATACTTTTATGCAGGTGGAACAGAAATCAAAGTATGGGATTGTATAACGAATGGTCGTCTTTTAGCAAAAATATCTCAACATCATAAAACAATTACTTGTCTTCAAGTAGCCTCCAATGGTCAAGTGATAATATCAGGATCTTTAGATAGACATGTTAAAATTCATGATACTGGATCATATAAAACATTACATACATTAAACTATCCGAACTCAGTTTTAAGCATTGGGATCAGTGTAAGTACATTATAAATTTTCAATTCACTTGCAGCTTATTTTATTTAGCTACATCTTAATTGTTAAGAAAAAGTTACAAAAACTTTATACACAATGCTTTGATTAACAGTGCAAAATAGTACATGCAAAACATAGTCTTTAATCATAAATTGTAATGGTAATTGATATTATACAAAATCATGACGATCAGTTACACAGACTTGGCTATGGGATTGCTCAATTACGTCAGAAATTCGAGCTGCCCTAACCTCAATGTGGGAAAAAACATACATTCGGCACTTTTGTCTTTGGAGTGACTCAAAACCTGAAAAAGGTGGAGTGAAACAAACAACGTTATACTATTTTTAGCATGCCAAAATCCACAGAAAAACTGTAGAAAAAGTAAAGGGATTCTTAGGAGCAGTGCTGGCTCAGTGGTAAACGTGCTTGGTACAACACCGTTCTAGGGGTCGTGGGTTCGATTCTAAGTTACTGCAAATTTTCCAAAAACTGTTTTCATTAGAAAAAGTTCCTATGAAACCCCAGCTGTTTTGGGGCAGATTTTTTCATGGCATTTTTCTTCAGACGGATTTCAGAGTTTTTTTTCTTGTCCCACTAATTTTCAGGCCTGGGTGAATACAAAACAATGTAAGTGTTTTAGGTGGGGATGAGCACATCTGATACCTGGCACCAAACAGGGAACGCCGACCTTACCGTTGAGGAGTGGTCCCTGAAACATGGGGCTTTTTCAGGGACGCTAAATAGCCTGGATCCGATGCTTCGGCAGAAAGCAGCGGCTTAACCGGTGAGGAGTGTATACCTGAGATATGAAGTCTTCTTTGGAGAGCGGGTACACAGTGAAAAGTGGCACCAATGTATCATTGGTGACAACTTTAATGAGAATGTGTTCCACTGTTGCTATTTCATTGGGCCGATGGTATGATAAGTATGATATTAGTTAGGTGATTAATAAATGGGTACAGAAATATAGGCTATCCTGGTAACCCGGTAAAAAAGGAATTTTTTAAAGTATAATTTGGGTTGACAATATGAATACGTAAAAAAAATGATTTTCATTAATTTATACAGCGACCTTCGTAATTTGTTTCCTCACTGTATGATTTATTTGAATTATCATTTTAACGTGTTTTAAGTCATTAATCATCGAAGAAAATCATATTATGTTTTATTTGATAAATAACACCAACTAACTGTATATGTGCCGAGGTTTGAATGAGGTCCAATTAGCAGAAAAGAGGAGTTAGATCGATATTTAAAAATTATATGCATAATGTATGTGTATTTCATGATTTTTTGAGTTGCTGACCACGTATCAGAAGTCAAAATGAACAAGTCTCACCACCTTCCTCCCCTCTGTACAAAATGACACTTAGAGGTAGTAATTAGGAGATTAATGGGGTGAAATTTATTATATTTTACTTATTATACATGTTCAGTGACTTTAAAGGCATGAAGTTTATTTACATCATCTATACAATTTTTAAATATCATAAAATTATACATAGGGGTCGTGAGGAGCGGGTAAGGCGGTAAAATTTGTTAATTTTGAATTTTTATATGTGATCAGTGACTGATAAAAACATGAAAATGACATTTATCTTGTTTGAATATTTTTTTATTTCCTTAAATGTGAATATTTACTCTGTATGTTATCTGAATTTTCGCAATATTCCCAACTCTAAACTCTCACCGATGTAAATAAAAAAATTTTACAAAAATCAGCTTACAGAAGTTAGCAAGTCGTATAAGGAATACTTCGAAATGAGATAAATAACCCAATCATTATACACTAAAATTTCTGACTGTAATAAATTATTATCACTGTGCACTGAAATTTTCGACTGTTCTAAATTATTTATTTTTCTATGTTTTTTAGATAAATTGAAGAGTTTTATTTTATCTTCATCTGTAGCATCTTGTGCGATTGAAACAAATAATGTTTTTTCGTTATGTTACTTTTTTTTCAAATAATTGTTTTAGTGTTGGCAACAATTGTTTGTGGGTATCTCTCATAAGATTTTAATGCGAGGAAGAAAATATATTATTAATTTTATTAGTAAAACAATAAAGTTTATCAAATACGCAGGAAAGACGTCTGTGACGAAACCAATCTTTATTATACCATCTACCATTTTTCCTGTACCACTACAAAATTGAAAACAATCTGAAGACTTCCAAATTTATGATGAAATGATAGTTCACGGCTATGGCAAAGTCAATTTCAGAGTTTTATATAAATCGCCATGTTTGCGCTATCAAACGTCTGTTAATGATCTGATAAGAAAATTTATCTAATGAAAAATCTAAAATTTTGAGAATCAAAGAAAGAAAAATACTTGCATGAGAAACCACGTTTAATGAATTCGGGTATCGTGAGCAATATTTTCTTGAATTTTCACAAAGAAAGATTCTCTTGTTTGTCATGACATTTATGGATTGATGAAGAAACTAGAATTACTGTACAATCCAAAAAATTTTACTTAGACTCAAGTACAGCTTGAAGGTTTTTTTATTACATAATAGTAACGAATACACTTTCTGCAGTCTGTGTGTTTTTATGAATTGATTGGTTAATAAGAAAGTTGTTCAGAAACGGTGCTATAAATGTAAAAAAATGAACCTCCTGATGAATCGTCAAAAATTTTGTTACCTCCGTTACATGTTAAACTTAGAATTCAGAAAAAAAAAAATGAAATCCTTCCATAAGATAGGATAATGCTTTAAAGATTTTGTTAGTACAATTCAAAATTTATGTTAGGAATTTGTAGATCCTCAAATTTGTTTTCTTATTAAAGAATTTAATTTTGGAAAAGTGGTAAGTAAAATAGAAAGTACAGGGCAGTGTTTTAAAACAGTCATTAGAGAATTTTTTTTAAATAACGGAGATAAGTATTACAAAAGTTTGATTTTCTAAAACTCTTGGTGATGTTCGAAAGGAGAAAAAAAACGCTCATCAGAATTGAAAAGAAATACAGTGACGTCATCAAGAAAGATGGAATGCAGCTATGCTTGCCGACTACGGGTGGACTCTGAAAAAGAATGGGCGTAGCTTATATCATAAGAAAGATCGCTTCTATAAACCATTGTGACAAGTCAACAAGTCAATTTGACTTTGACGAAAATAGAGATTAAATTAATGAGATTCAAATAATACATAATTACTTTATTGTATATTTACCAAATAGTTTGAATTTTTTGCATAAAAATATTTTCTTTTCAAGAACATGTTTTTTTTTTTTTTTTCAATTTCACATTCACACAGTTTTTACGCATGGTTGCGATTCTCCTACCGTGTTTCACATATTATAAGGCATTGCTTATATTTTTTTTTCAAATCAAAAATCGTGGTACGCCTTATATTTAACGTATGTCTTATATTTTAATATTTGAAAATTTTAATTAATATTTGTTAATTTTTGAAAATAAAAAATTCAAGTTATTTAATTTTAACTTTACAAAAATTACAAATTCACATGACAAAAATGTGCATCATCAACACTACTCAAATCACTTTTAATTTAATTAATTAAATACCGTATGTACGTCGTCCTCTTCTGGGATATCATCATTAATATTAAGTGGAATGAGTTGATCTTGAGAATTTAATCGTTTTAAAATCAATGACCCTAAAAGGTAGTGTTAAAAATATAATAATAAATACTGAGAAATTAACTTATTGTATATTATACATCATCACCTTAACGACTAAAGAGCGACTGTTTATGGTAAAAGCTAGGGCTTGACTGCTTGTATCGCTTGGCGCTACGTGTACAATTCGTGATTATCATTTAGATGTCTACGTGCGCTCAGGCTAGACTGTGCCACTTTACTTACATTACAACAGTATTCAGAGTAATTTTTAATTGTTCAAGAATAGCTTTATCTGGCTCACTGCATGATGTTGATTTGAACGTTCGTTTTAATCTGTTATACAACCTTTTAGATTTTTTGGTGCGTTAGCGTTATTATTTTTACGCCTTTATCACTGAGATTAAGAAGATGTTTAGGCAGGTAGAAGTGCTTGAAGAGGATCAAGATTGTTAGTAAATCACTTGGCGTCTGGATCCTTCAAAATCTATTCAAGTTTACAAACTTATGACAGTGATTTACGGTTTGAGATGTTCATCTTCTCTTGCTAGCAGGATTTTGAGCTTGGCTGGGAAATTTTATCCATCGTTTAGCCTGAATCTTGCCCCGTTCGACTACCATTTGTTCCGGTCCCTGCAGAGCTCTTTTTAGCGGTGTTAAGTTGACTTCAAAAAAGGCTAGGCGAGAATCCCTTGGTTCAGTTTTTTGCTGAGAAACCTTAAAAGTTTTATAGTGATGGAATCATGGTTATACCAGAAAAGTGGCAAAAGGTTATTAATTAAAATGGCACAAATATTGATCATTAGTATTTAAAATTAATATGGATGAATTCGCTTTGCAAAACATGAAGAAAACCAAAATCACTTATTCCCAAACCCAATATTTTAACGTTAAACGTCGTGATTTGGATGTTTTTTCGACTAAACGTAAACTATGGTCTTAAATTTAGTAACTGTATGATTCTCTAGATTAGTTAGCACACATTATCATCACCATAAAGATATTTTTTTAGTACTCGTAGCTATCAAAATTGTCATCAGATATTAAACTGCCAGGTAGTGTAGTTCAGGAGTGGTTGAAGTGGCTAAAAGAACTTTCTGGGCTAAAGGAACTTCCTAATGGAACGGTTACTTCCTTTCATTAGAAAATATAGAATTGCACAGATTTTCTTACGCTTCAAAGCTGTTTTTATCATGAAAATTTACTTCAGAATTTTATTTAGTTTTAATGTTGCCGTGATAATCTTTAACATCTGTTGATAAACGTTGGCCACCTGGAAGATACAGAACAAATCTAGAACAAAGTATCCATAGAGTCCATGTACAAATTAATTTTAGATGATTAGATTTGGGTAGTGAAGATATAATGATTGACCATCTTGAAGAAGTGCGCGCTGCAAAGCTCTCAACGGG